CGCTGCGGTGTTCCTCCCCCCGGCCAGTCTGCCAGGCCCAGCCCCACACCCTAATTGAGGCACTTTTCACAAAGAAGCCCGAGCCCTCGAGGGCGGGGCGCCGGTTGGCTCCCTTAGGGCGGGCGCAGGATGGCCAGGGCCAGACCCGACGTGCCCGCGGCTGTACCCTGCTTGGGCGGGACCCGCGTTCCACCCCGCTGCACCCTCCCCCCAGGTCCGCAGCTGGAGGTGGGGACTGAGGCCGGATAGGGCGGGACCCCGGGGTCCGCAGGGGGCGTAGGGGCGGGAGCAGTGCTTGCGCCACGTGACCCACCGCCGACCAGTTAAGAGGAAGCGCCGCCGGCTGCGGGCTCCTCTGCTCGGCGCACTCGCTCGCTGCGGGGACCTTCGCCATGTGTGCGGCTCAAGCGGCTGCGGTGGCCCAGGCCACCGTGTACCGGCGCGCCCGCTCGGCGCCGAGGAGCCGATGAGCCTGGGCTCCCTGCGGGGCAAGGTGCTGCTCATCGAGAATGTGGCGTCCCTCTGAGGTACCACGGTCCGGGACTACACCCAGATGAACGAGCTGCAGCGGCGCCTCGGGCCCCGGGGCCTGGTGGTACTCGGCTTCCCGTGCAACCAGTTTGGGCATCAGGTGCGCTGCGTGGGGCGGGGCGGCGCGGCCGTGCGGCTCGGGTTGGGGGCCCGGCGGGGCACCCGCAGGGCTCCGGCACAGGGAGGCGGGCCGCCGGCTGGGATTCGGGCCGGCTGGCGGTTGTGCAAGGAGGGCAGTGTCCCAGTGACTCACCGAAAAGCCCCTTTGTGGTTCGAAGATTTCCTGCCACCCGCGACCTCGGGTCCCAGCTTCCTTTCTTTTCCGTAGGAGAACGCCAAGAATGAAGAGATCCTGAACTCCCTCAAGTACGTCCGACCCGGCGACGGGTTCGAGCCCAACTTCACAGTCTTCGAGAAATGCGAGGTGAATGGCGCCAAGGCACATCCGCTCTTTGCTTTCCTGCGCGAGGCCCTGCCGGCGCCCAGCGATGACCCCTGTGCGCTCATGACCGACCCCAAGTTCATCACCTGGTCTCCCGTGTGCCGCAACGACATTGCCTGGAACTTTGAGAAGTTCCTGGTGGGTCCTGACGGCGTGCCGGTGCGCAGGTACAGCCGCCGCTTTCCGACCATTGACATCGAGCCCGACATCGAAGCCCTGCTGTCCCAGGGGCCATAGGGCACCTCCCCCACCCTGGCTACCCGGCAGGTGCAGCGCTGCGTCTGGGGGGTTTCATCCATGACGGTGTCTCCTCTAAACCCCGAAGGAGGAACGCCTGATGTCCGGAAAACCCCCCAGGTGGGCGCCTCTCCTGTCCATCGCAGCCCTCCCTCTGCCAGACCTCTCCCCACCCCGCCCAATAAAGCGCCAGTGAAAGCAGAACTGTGTGTGCGTCCTGTCGTGTCAGCCCAGGGGACCTTCCCTACTGACCTTGTCGTGGAGGTCCAAACTTAATCCCATGTACCCTTACCCTGGCCAAGTCTGACCTTCCTGCAGCCTGTGGAACTCACTCTTGTTTTTGTTGTTTAATTAATTTGCTATAGGATATGCGTGCTCACCAGAGAGAGGCGGGGAGGGAAAGTGAGAAAGCAACCGTCAGGTCCAGGACTCAAATCGCAGTTGGCCACATGGGAGTCCAGTGCCTTAGCCACCACGCCACCTGCCGACCCCCACACTGACTCATTTCTACACAAAGGTCTGGCTCTTGTCAGCCAGGGCATGGAGCAGGGCCACCCCAGGCCTTATTAGAACAAAATCCTTACTCCATAGAAAGGGAGTCGTTGGCAGGGGCCGACTGTCTAACCCCAGTAGGTTCCTCCTTTCTGAGTCCTGGAGGACACTCCGACGACTCACAGAATAACCTTCAGTCTCTGGCCTGTTTTACATATGTGGAAGTCAATGCGGGGTGAGAAACGCTTTTCTACTTCTGCTGCTGCTACCGCTGGTCTTCCCTGCTGCTGCCTCCCCAGCAGTTGCCTTTCTGCCTTTGCTGTGCTGGGAGTAAGTACAATGTAACCAGCCCCTGCCCGCCAGCCCAGCCAGCGCTATTAACATGCGGCTGTACATGCAGACCCAGGATAGGGACGTATCTTAGAGGCCACCTTCTGCTTCTCGGGCACTGCCCCTTGGGCACTGCTCAGGGCCAGCCTCGCCATCTGCCAGCCCTACTGCCAATCTTTCGAGACAGAGCTGGAGCCATTTCTTATCAGTGTGAGAGGTTCCAGGATCTGAGGGCGGCTTCTGCTAGGACACACAGGGACCCAGAGATGCAGGCCATGTCACTCACCAGGTCGTAAATGTGGACCAGCTTCTAGGGTCTTGGCATCTGTACTCTGATTGATGGTTCAAGGCCTTTCCTGTCTGGACCAACTCTCAGGGACTTCTCTGGCCCTAAGCAGGGGTCTCTGCTGCTGAACACTCATCTGCCCTAGGTCTCAGGGTTGAAGCCCTCTGCACCTGTTCAGTTCCCTCTCCTCCCTCTCCCTCTGAATTCCTGCACAAGCGCACCTCCCTCTTCCTATGAGGCTCCCCAACTCCAGCTCTGAGTCCCCCTCCTCCCCCTCAGCTCACACTCTGGGTTTTCAGAACTCTGAACTCATGGCTACCTCTGTGACCAGTTAGCTTCCCCTGGGGTTCAAGGTCGAGGACTGGGGCTGGCCATCCATGTGACAGGCATCAGTAAATGTTTGCCTATTAATTAACAGGAAAGCCTTCAGGGCCTGGGTGGTGGTGCAGCGGTAAAATGTGATGCTCTGTGAGGCGGAACCTCCATGTGCCCGACACAGGTGCCCTTGTGATGTGGGCTGGCTGGGGTTGGGTGGATCGTGGTGTCAAAACTGAGAAGAGGGTGCTGCCTCCCTCTGTCCCTCATGGACAAAATAACAAATACACACACGCACACACACACCTCCCACTCACGTGGGGCCAGGGCTATTTTACGATCATTTATAGCCTGTGAACCTGACTCTGGAATGGAGGACAACCTATATATCCGCGTACATCTAGTATAGGTATACAAGGTCGCCTGAGACCCCTACACCCCACACCCCTCTCTGGAAGCTCTTTGCTCCTTCCACACTTTGTCAGTCCTTACACTTGTGCTCTGCTGGGTGCCTTGGAAGGCAGGCAAGGGATGAGGACTGGGCCCGCAGGTGGCATGGTGGTTAAGGCGCTGGATTCTCACAAGGCCAACTACGATTTAAGTCCTGAATCTGATGCCTTGAAAATCACGAGGGGGTCAGCTGGTGGCATAGTGGTTAAGACACTGGACTCCCACGTGGTAGACTGTGGTTCAAGTCCTGGACTTGGTGGCTTGTTTTCTTGCTTTCCCTTTCTCTCTCTGTCTCTGTCTCTCTGTTGCTCTGTGGTCAAATTAAAAAATGATGATGATGAATAAAATGAAATACAATAATTCTTTAAAAAATTCCAATGAATAGGTAAATAGAAAATAAATTTTAAAAAATGGATAATGACAAGGTAGTACGGGGGCTTTGAGATAAATGAGAACCAAGCCTGGCAGGGAGGGTCATGGAGGAAGCGAGAGTGAAACTGAAGAGTACAAGGAGCAGCTGGTTGAGGAAGGACCCGAGGAGGGTGGCCAGGCAGGGTGGAGAGCGTGTGAGGGTCTGAGACAGGAAGGCAGGCCCTCAGCAGTGAGAGGGCAGGTGTCGGGGCAGGTAGCTGGGATCCATTTCAGATGTGTTGCATAAGACATCCAGATGGACACACCAGGCAGGCAGTTACAGAGCCCAGGAGTACGGATTAAAGGCAAGGGTCTGGCCAAGGAAGGCGGAGCAACCACTGAGGACGAGGTCACCCAGGAGGAGCAGCAGGAAAAACAGCCAGGCGCCACAGCCTGGGGTCTATGGGTTCCATCCTTCGGGGTCAGATGACAGAGAGGGGCAGCTGGGGACGGGTCAAGGAGCTGCAGAAAGAGACAGTTCATATGGAGAGGTCAGCTGGGACAAGTGCTTGCGGACTGAGAGCTCCACAGCGGTGTGATCTGGGTGGCCAGGTGGCCAGGTGTCTGGGGTACCAGGCCCTATTCTAGGAGCTGAGGAAAGGTGCCCAAGAGTCTTCTTAGTGATAGGAAAACACATACCACCCCCCTCCCCACCCCAAGCTGCTGAATTGGAAAGTCTGGGACCCAGGGCCCCACTCAGAGGCCCCCCAGCTGGACACTTTCCCACTCTCCCTTTCCCTATGTCAGTGTAGCCAAGACCATGCTCTCTGGGGAGCTGCCGGCTGGGAACCCAGGACTTTCCAAACCAACTGCAGCCTCAAACCTCTCCCCTGCCCCCGCCTCTGGCTGCCTGGTGACTCACCACTCCTTTCTTTTTCCTCTTAAGACTGCCAGGGCAGGAAACTTCTTAGCTCCCAATGTGGCTGATCCTGTCTGGGGACAGCCCTACCTCAGACAAGCTGTTTGCTCCCTCAACAGAAAAGCCTTCAAATTCTCTCTTCTCCAGGGAGACTCAGAATAAAACCAGGTTGACTTCAGTATCTTTTCCCCCAAGAGACATCTTCCCCCAATACATACAAATGCCCCCCATCACCCCCCCGCCACATTCTTTTATAATTCAACCATGTAGCTGCTGCTGGTTCTGACCTGCACACACCCGCCCCACTGTGAAGGTGCCGATCAAATGAACAAGTTCTATCAAAGGGCAGGAACCAAGCTCTGCCAGCATGAAGTCCTGGCCTTTGGCATAAATGGTGGCAAGACTTTGTTTGCTCTGGAAACCGGCAGCTGCACTCTGGCTTCTTCTTAGAAGGGGATGGGCCCTACAGTTACTCAATGAGGTTCAGAAGCTTCCATTTTAGCAGTTCTTGCAGAAATGCTGGGGTTTAAAAAAAAAAAAAATTAAATCTGATAAAATTAGGCCAGGCACGACGCTTGCACAATGAACCTCGATCAAATGACTTCCTTATTCTGACTCAGTGCAGTTCCACAAACAACGTTAAAAGCATTCTTGTATTTTCAGAGAAGCATTCTTGGCCTGGTCAACCGAACAAATCTCTTCAGTTTTAACTTTTGGATACTACTGAGTAAAAAACACTGGCTGAAGATTTCCTAAGAGCTCACGGCGTGCATTTATAAAGGGCATGCCATGATGCCTGTCACATCACTGAATTTGGCGTGTTCTTGTACAATAGGCTGGAAGACTATGCTTTTACACTGGGGTGTGACAAATCTGACCGGCACCAAAACAAACCCGATTCGAGCTGATCACACAAACTACTGGACACCTGCCTCCTGCCAGGCATGGACAGACTGGGAGCCGGGGGTACAAGTGAGAGAAGCGCTTGGCTAAGGAGTGAAGTCTCACAGGCCCTGGTCCTGGGATGGCATCACTCTCGCTGCCTCCCAGAGAGGTTCTAGAGAAGTCAGAGACTGCGAGTCCCAGCAGACTGCCATTCCTAAATCCTCTCCCCTGGCTGGCTGGCAGAATCCACGTTCTGGATCAGGGCAGGGCAGGTCGCTGGTCTGAGTCACTGAGAGATGTGGGGGCTCTTGGGGAAGCCCCTGTGATCCCAGGGAACAGAAGAAAGGAAGGTTCCAACCTCCCTTCTCACTGGTGGCTGCTGGGGAGGGGACCTGGAATGCAGAGACAAAGGCAGCAACCACCTGAAAACTTCAAGAAAAAAAAAAAACAAGAGCGGGTCCAGCAGGTGGCATGGTGGTTAAGGGCGCTGGACTCCCCCATGGCCAACCATGGATCGAGTCCTGGACCTGGTGGCTTGCTTTCTCACTCTCCCTCTCTCTCTTTCTGTCTTTGGCAAAACTCATGTGAAAATAAATAAATAAAGTTACAAAGTTAAATAAAATAATATTTTAAAAATTATTTATTTATTTTCACATGAGTTTTGCCAAAGACAGAAAGAGAGAGAGGGAGAGTGAGAAAGCAAGCCACCATGTTCCAGATTCGATTCACGGTTGGCCGTGTAGGAATTCCAACATCTTAACCACCATGCCACCTGCTGGCTCCTATAAAATAATTCTAAAAAAAGAAAGAAAGAAAGAAAGAAAGAAAGAAAGAAAGAAAGAAAGAGAGAGAGAGAGAGAGAGAGAAAGAAAGAAAGAAAGAAAGAAAGAGAGAGAGGGACCAGCAGGTGGAGTGATGGTTAAGGCGCTGGAATTCCCACATAGCCAACCATGGTTCGAGTCCTGGACCTGGTGGCTTGCTTTCTCACTCTCTCTCTCTCTCTCTCTGTCTTTCTCTGGCAAAACTTATGTGAAAATAATAATAATAATAAACAAATAAAAGTAATAATTCTTTAAAAAAAAAAAAGAAAGCAAGAAAAAAAGCAAGCAAGCCAAGAGGGCTACACAGGCGAGCTCTGAGGCTTGCCACCCTTCAGTGTGGGTCTACCCCAAGAAC